TTGGCTCTTCAAGCAGAGTTCAGGGAGAATGCAAGAGTTTTCTTTCCAACTGAACTAATTAATTGCTATGAATGTACTGCATAATTACAATTGACAGGTCTCTCTTGCTTTAGCTGTCAAAGCAGCTGTCTTCCTGTGACAGTCTGCAGACGAACGAGAGCGAGTAGAGCAACTGGAGCAAGAGCAATAAAACCATGTGAATTAAGGGCCTAGAATAGAGGGTGATGCACTGGAAAAAAAAGAAAAGAAAAAAAAAAAATCCTATATTGGTGAAAAAAATTCAATATATTATTTTATTTAAGAAAAAGAAATTCTCTCTCTCTGTATATATATTTACATTCAGTAAAAGACACTCGTGAAAACTGGCAGCAATGGGGCCAGAAAAACGTGGTAAAATGTGGAATACTGTAATATTTTTAAAAAAAAAAAGAGAGAGTAAAACAGCACTTTTATGGTTGCACATGAGCGGGAAAAAAATAACTAATTTGTTCTTTTTTTTTTTTTTTAAGTAATAATCTTGCACTGTTTAGGTGTTTTTTTTTTAAACAGTCAACATTTATTTAAAAAAAATATTTACTAGATTTCTGTAATTTAACAAAACATGGCTGATTATAGAATGCTCATGGGTGAAATAACAATTAAAAAAAAAACTATTTTCAATCCTTAATATATTTGTTACATATACATGCGACTAGGACTGGACCTGAACATCCGAATATCCTAATACTTGGTCATTGTGGTATCCATATATCAGTTTTATTGATTTTTTCATATCCGTAGCCCAGAAACAGCTATTCGGACCAGCCCTACATGCAACAAAAGCTACACGTCAAATCATAGATTGTGTATAAAGTGTGGACTTCATCTTCACCCATTGGCTCTTGATGGACATTTTAAACTCTTTAGTGTCAAATTTGCTGTTTCCATAAGGTAGCCATGACCTCAAGCATACCCTGCTTCATCATCCGTTTTATTCTAAATGTAACCACAGTTTACAAAACCAACATAATTCTGTATTGAAGGAGACTTGAAACTGACAATTGAGTCCATAAACATTTAAGGAAAATGCCTACTGAGGTAGCAAATCAAGTTAGAAGTAGGGTCATTGTCTCATAGATTTTTATTCAGTCAAGTTTCAGAGGAGTCGCCCCCTGCTGGCTGTTAAACAGAATGCTGGTTTAAGGCACCAACATGTTGGCTTCACTTTTCAGACACAAAGGAACGCTGTAGTTCATGGACAACATATGATTATAGCATCCATGTACTAAGGAGCAGTTTTTTAGTTGCAGGTATTTGAGATGGAGCCAATTCTAACTACTTCATTTTTGTTATTTAATGTGAAATGAAATCAGTTTAGTTTGTTTTTTCCGCTGAAATGTTGTGAAATTGAAGCATAAAACAGGACAAAAATAAAATCCCAAATTAAATACTTACACACACCATAATTGTACTTGATTTAATGTACTTTCCACCACTCAAATGTCACAAAGTGCTTCATTCAGATCAGTGTGTAGTCGCTGTGTTTTGGCTCAGGGCAGATTTGAGCTGGAGAAGGCAGCGATGGCCTGATTATGAGTCCGTGTCAGAAGCAAAAGAGGAGAAGTGTCATCCAACGTGCGAATGCAGCAGAACGTACTCCAGCCTGCTATGAGAGTCCGCATCTCATATATGGAGCGGAGAGAGCAGCATGCGAATCCTTTTCTTTTTTTTTTTTTTACCCATCTCTCTCCCCGGGGAACAGAATCTGCTGACACAAAACAACAGGGCGAGAAAAAGAGGGGAAAGCATTCAAACAAATGAAAACAAGCAAACAAATGGGATGGAAGAGCAATTTCCGTATTTGTATGGGTGAGAGTGCTTCGCATGTCGGATTTTTTTTGTGTGGAAGTTCGCAACCGAGGTGACAGGAAGGAGATTTCCAAGGAGATTTCCTGGTAGTGCTCAGTGAGAATGTCAAAAAGGTTGAGATCTCATCAAATAAGCAGTCCTTGATGCGGCTCGGAGACGGCTTGCCGGCATGTTATTAGCTGTGTGAGTTGAGGAGGTGTCCTTTTTAAGATAATCCACACAAATTAATTCAGGATTTAAGCATTTGCAACTTAAAATGAACCAAGATGCTTATGCAACTCGACTTTTATTGGATTTCCAGACCAGTTAATCAAATCTAATTTTATTTGACTCCTGCTAGTTCGACCTCTGAAAGGCCATTATCAAGCTGCCATATGGAAACTTATCTAACAGCCAATAGCGTAAACTGGACTTAGCCAAACAAAAGCAATGTGGGAGGATCTAAATTTAGTAGTAAGTGCAGTGGGAACTTGCTTTGGATCACGGTCTAAACAAAAGAGGTGTGGATTAGCCTGGCTCGTATCTCCGTTTGACAAACTCACTCGAAAACAGACAAGCACTGCCAAGCACTGGAGAAAGACGAGCATTTATTTTTCAAATCGATGACAAGAAGGGCCGAAGTTGAGAGTACAAAATGTGTCCTATTGTGCGGTGATGTGCCCATTTCACACCAGCCGTTTTAACTCGACACTGCGGGAACAGCACAGGAGTAGTGAGACCAACAATGGCCGCGTTGTATTCAAGTGTCCAAGTAAGTCACGAATGGGTGGCAGCGAGCTTTTTTCTGGGAGCGTTTTGAGGAATCACTTTCTTGCTGAGAGTGGCACCGTCCGTGTGATAAGCAGAAAGTCAGCAAAGACTGCAAACAGGGTGAAAACAGCCTGGATCTGTTCTGGAGTAACAAAACCCAGACTGGTGGAAGGTGGACGAGTACATTTACTGGAGCAGTACTTGTACTTGAGTATTTATGCTACTTTGTGTTTCCACTTCACTACATTTCAGAGGAA